TAGCCCTTCTGATCAGTGCTGAGAGCTTTCACAACACGTCATCCTGGAGGAGTGATTTTTGCAAGTGCTCAGCATCCACGATTCTCAGCCATTTCCCTTGGCCTTCCCATGTAGGACTTAACCCACTAGTGGAGTCTAATTACCAGAAAATCTCCGTATCAGAGAAGGGCATCACTTGGTTGCTGGGAGAACCCACAGTCCTGACTGTCACTACAGAAACAGAAGCAAAGGAGAAGAGAAATCCAGACACCCCCGCCGTGCTGCACAGTGCAGCTCAGTCTTTCTGAGGCGCGCAAAGTAAATAGTAGTAATAAAATGTGATAGGAAAATCAATCGGAACCAATGCAGCCGGGTCTGTGCTGTACTCCAGCCCCTGTGGCCCGTTGTTACTGCTGTGAATAATAAACAGCCATCTGATAATGAGCAGATCAGCAGCGTGCTGGCGGGGCTGAGGCTGCCCCGAACGGCCCTGCTCTCCACAGAGAGACTCCCGGCAGGACTTGTGGAGCGGTGGCTGTTACTGGTCAGACTCCTTCGTGGTTGTTAACCCAACTCTGCCCTGGAAGCAGCAAGAGAAACAAGTTGCTACCCAGGACCCTGCCACAACCCATCCCACACCCGCTGCTTTACACTGCCATATTCTGTGATGGGAAAACCTGGTCCTGGCCCAGTTCCTCATGCTGGGACAGGAGCCCTCCCTGCTGCCCACACTGCTGAGGGACCTGGACTTGTCTTGGAGCTGGAATAACTTGTGAAAATCCTTGAATTGCTTCTGAGGTGGCGGGCACCACTAGTCCAGTACCTGGGGCAACCGCTGTGGGTGCTCGGCTGCCTGGCAGCCCTGTTTTGTTGTGTGGCCGGGCACGACGGGCATCCTGTGAACGCATCATCCCTCCAGCCTTGACCTTCTCTGTCTGTGGTTTGGAAGAAAATCCATATTGCAATGTGTTGCTAACTTGTCAAATAACTTTTGATGCTAATATCCGATGAAGCAGCCATGCTGGCGTAGATAGTTACTCCCAGTTTCTCTATCACCCACCATCTATTTCTATAGGGTCTTGATTTTTTTTTTTTTTTTCCAGTGACTAATGGTGCATTTAACCCCGGAGAGCCTGTGATCTGAACATCAGAAGTTTCTGCAGCAGAGGAACAGAAAAAAGGAGGCGGGGAGCGAGGGTGGATGAGCTTCCTGTTGTTCTGAACTTGGCTTACTGGTAGAGCTCTCAAATCAAACTAGAAATCTCACCACCACAGGCAGCCACCGCTCAAAACCTTGGGGCAGGCTCCAGCCTTGCCTTAAACTCTCATTCAGAGGCTTGAGCCTGTAGCAGTTTCCATGGATGGGAACGCGCAGGGCTCAGCCAGGCCGTGTCACTGACCTGCAGGGAGCCACTTCAAGCTCTGTCTGGGTCCCCCATTTGTATAAAGGTGTCAACACCCACTTCTTCATAGAGCAGCATTAGTTCTGTACGTGCATTAGTTCTGTACATGGACTAGTTCTATAGATGCAGTAGTTCTGTAGATGCACAGGGAGACCTTCTGTTGGCCCTTGCAGGCACGAGACTCAGGGCAAGTCCGTGACCTAGCGTGAGGCTCCAGGACGATCCCCAGACTCCGAGAGGGGCTCGTGAAATGCCAGTTTCCCTTCGTGGTCCTGCAGTGCTGCATGGTCTGAGCTGGGCTGTGTGTCCGGGCCGGCGTCGCATGGGATGGTGCCAGCGGTGGCACCGGCCCCTGTGTGGGCAGGTCCCTCGCACGGCGCCGTCAGCTCCCTTCCTGTCTGGCCATGAGGTGTGTGACAGCAGGGACAGGCCTGCCAGGGTGAGAGAACAACCTTCATCTGGCTGGCCCCAAAAATCCAACAGGGATTCGCCCTCCGAAGGCAAAAGGCCTTTGCACATTGCATGGGTACAAAGGAGAGACTCCCTTTCTCCCTCAATTCAAATAATCACCCCCCTCCAAACACTGCTCTCCCAGAGCTCCAGCTCCCAAGCCGGGTCTTGCTCCTTCCCTGCTCTCCTAGAGCCCCAGCTCCCAAGCCGGGTCTTGCTCCTCTCCTCCCTGGAAGGCAGTGCAGCAGCTGCTTCCAAGTGCCAGCCCTAGATGACCAGGACACCTAATGCGACCCCATGACAGCTCCAGGCTCACACCGGAGCCCTAACCTGCCAGAGCTCAACCAGAACAGTCTGCCCGGCTCCGTCCGTGCTAGGAAGTCCTCCAACCTTAGGCCATGAATAGCGCCTGGCCCGAAGGGCTGCAGACGCCTCTACGGGGCTTACTGGCCTCTTCCAGCTTTGTCCACTATCTCCGTTCAGCGCTCACAGACAAAAGGGCTCCCTGGCTGTTCCCGCTCCCTTGCAAATTCTGCTACCAGAGCTGTCGTGCTGCACACAGACCCACTGACAGCTTAGCCTCCAGCCACAATTCCGCTTCAAAAGAAAATCAAATTCTGCGTAATAAAGTTTGCATGAAATTTTCACCTGCAACAATTCTCAAACGTGCTGAACTGCATGACATATCTGCATGACAGCTTACCTGACTTAAATAAATGATACCACCTTACAGCATTACTTTACCAGTCGGGATAAACAGACTGTAAAGACAAATTTACTTTGTTTTTCCTCATGGTCACAGAAATTTAGCACATCTGATACTTTTAAGCAAATACCTCTATTTATATGAAATATATAAGCATCAGATATAAGATTTCCTTCGAAAAGTGTTTCGTTCAGCTGATTTTAATGGAGACTTTTAAAAATATTTAACTATAAAAAAACTTTTCTCTTTTTTTTCAGAATTTTCTATGTAAAAAATCTGTGAAATAATGCAAAAGACAATTTCAGCATTACAGAAATACTTCTTAAAATATTTTATGGTAATATTATCAAAATTAATACTTTCAATAGAAAGCTGATTTGGATGGAAACACATTTTCTAACAGAGGAGCATTCAATTGAAAAATTTCCCAATTGCATTTTCCAGTGGCCAATTTTTCAATGCCATTTTCCTATGACCACTACATCCGGAAGTTTTCCAATGAGGTCTTGTGATCTCTTAAGGAAAAGAGGCTGTTTCCAATAACACTTTTTAAAAGCTTGTTACTATTGCATGCTGCATACCTTTTTACAGATAAAAAAAATAGTTTTAAATGTATTTCAAAAGATGCAGAGGTTTATTGCAGTTTAGGTGGATGGCGTTTGGATCTAGATCAGAAGCATTTCTTCAGCTGGTGGGAACGATACCGGCTCCCTTTGCTCTCCTGCCCTTCTGAGCATCTGCTGCACCTCCAGAGCTGCTCTTTGAGGCCCTATCCAGAAGCCAAGGGAGGATGTGGTTTTCAGTCCTTCTCTACTGAATGAAAGAGGGATGCGGGTTCCGGAGGCTACGCGCAGAGCTCTGTCACTGAACCTCACCTCACTGAACAGAACCTGGTTGCCTTGCATTAAATGAGCTGAAAAGCACAACACCTTATTGGAGGTTAACTCAGCCACCAAGCTGACAAACCCATTGCACGTACTCCCTCATCACACGTTTCTCGGAAATAATTAAATCTGTTGTTATTCTCTGTCTCAGTCTGTAGTCCCACCTTTCACATAAGGTGAATTCAGCTGTCCTATATTACAGATCTGGAAATTAAATGCTGAAGGTGAAGCTAATGTTCTGGTTTCTTCCAATAGTCAATGGAAAGAAACAGACAGATCCAGAGGGCAATTCATCTCATCCTTAGATAACCATCTACAGCAAGTTAGATGAATAGCCCTTTGGAGGTCTATCACTGCAGAAGAAACCTCCTCTAGGCCTTGGCAGGTACCTTTCCCATGTCTAAAGCTAAGTGAGACGAATGGATCCACAGCTGGGCCTGCGTAAAGAGCACTCAGGAGCTAAAGCTGTGGTGAGAGACGATGGGTACCAGCTCGAGCGGAGTGAGACGCTGCCTCCCCTCGTCTCTGCTCCAGCTGCTCTACCAGACGCTGCTGATCCCTGCAGCACAGCCAGAGGACACGGACATCTGTGAGCTGTGTCCCCAGAGCAGTCAGTCCCATCCTGAAGGGATGGGAAGAGCTGCCTGATGTTTTCTGTTCAAGCAGCTGGGAATGTTCCCGTGGCCGCCTCCCCTGCTCAGCTCTGGGCTCAAAAGTAGCAAATGCTGGGCACCAACAAACCACAAGCAGCTCTTACCCAGGGCTACATTATTAGGATGTTAGAAATGTCTGGAAAATGCTCTTGGAAGACTTAACTTCTCTAACTGACACTTTCTTATTTTTTGTTAAGCTACAGAGCATCTCTGAAGACACATGCAATGCTTTCTACACACACGATGCCTGCTTGTTATTCTTTGCCCTGGAGGGAGTTGCAAATTGCGTACGCAGCCCGCACTTCTTAAAGATATGGCAAAATAGCAGCATCTCTGCGCTCGCAGCGTCCGAGCAGATGGCATGGGGCAGGTAAACAGCTCTTCTCTGAGACACGCTGGCTACGAACAGTCTTTCAAACATTAATAGTGTGAGAAACACAGCAGCAGAAAGTTCAGATGCAAAGTGACATAAATGATTTCTAGAAGGCACCATTAGTTTAAAAAATGATGCAGATGAAAGAGCAAGAAAGCACCGTCACACAAGCCAACGTGAGCCAATCCACCTAAGAGATGTCCACAACATCAGAAATTCATCTCAAGGACAAATGCAGCTTCTAATTAGTGAGGTCCATCAGTCCAGATGTTTTCCTTGGATTCTCTCTTTGTACTATCAGCTGCCTGAAGCACCAAGATGGGGGGTTTAGGATGAACACAGAAGCAAAGACAAATTTGTTATAAAATCTGTCTTAAAAGGCAGGAATATGGCAGAGAATGAAGGACTTAAGGATAACGGTAAGTGCAATTTTTCAACCACAGGTCAGACTTTATTGCATTCCGTATCAGCAGTTGTGCAAGTCATTATTATCCAATCACTTTTATTGAATCAATTTGGCTGTAGAGAGGAAAAATTTTAAAAGCCCTCAGAGTTTTAGCAGTCCAACTTCCACTCATTATCTGTGAAACTTAAACACTACCGGGCCTGAAGTACTTTGGAAAATGGGCAGTGGTCTTCTAATTCATGTAGACACTTTTGAAAACGTTTCCCTACTTGCCACAGCAGAGAGTGATGCTCACTGGTCTCTTTGCTGTCAATCATGGCAGAGGGGTCACGGACCAGGTGGCTCATGGCTATTACTGGCTTATGAAATTCTGCTTTTCCTCTTCTCCGTGCCATCCTTCCTGTTGAGAGCAGGCACGGTGGCAGGCAATGATGTTGTAGAGGAATACAGATTGCCATGATAAGAGAAACTTGTCTAGAGAAGGCACCATATTATTTTCCCCGTACAAAAATGTTAAAAACTGAGAGATGCATAAATGAATACAATAGAGAGGCAGGGATAAACTAAATGAAACGCTGGCAGACTTGGAAAGATCTGTTGTGCCACTGGGACTTTGGAGTCTACTTTGCTGTAAGTGCCAGGACTACAAAGGAAACCTGTAAAAATGTTAAATATTCTAAAGTGATGTTTAGAAGTGAAAGGAAAACTGTCATTTTAACTAATGCCAGGAATAATGTTTATTTTTTTCCCTTCTGATTAAATTATCACATGAAACCAGGATAACATTGCTGCTAAGGCCATCACTGGCAGGCTTTTTATTGCTACCAAAGAGCCCTCAGCTTTCTTGAGTATTTCAGAATGTCACCTGTGGGCTGAGCGTGGGGCACATATCGTTTTTCAGATCCTTTAGCCCAATCCTCATGCTCTACATCTTCTGGATTCCACTTATCTGGTCTCATCAGCAGTGTTAGATGAGACAAATGCAGTCCATAATTGAACATAATAAATTACCCCAAGCTCCCACTCGAGATCTTTGTCCTTCTCACACGCTGTACAGCTGCTGTCCCCAGAGAGATGCTGGTAGGTCAGAAGGAGCAGCGGTGGCAACGTTGTGGTCCACGTCCTGCCTCCCTGGCATCCGAGACATTCACTATTAAGCAGCTCCCGTCCCATTCCTCACGCGTGTCCTGCCAGCAGGAAGAGTCCCCAGCCAGCAAGGGTGAAACGGGAGCGCTCAGCACCGAACCAGAGAGTTCCAAAAGCCTCGGCCCCACCTTGCAATGTCCTTAGGTAACCACAGAGCTCCATTTTATTTATTGTTCTTTATAGCTGATCTTCATCTATCCAGATGGTTTTTCGCTGCTCTTCTCCAATCTTGTCTTTTATCGTTCGGATGAGATCCTCAATGCTGCTCCACGCATCTGCCTCTACAGAGGCATAAAGACAAGGCAGAGCTTCCAGTTCTTTCTCCTTCAGGCGGCACATACGCAAAAACTCATCTTCAGTCTCTGGCTTTGGCAGTAGTTTCCTGTATCCAGTGATCAAAGTCCAAAAATAAATGGCTTAAATTTTAAATGAATCTCATAGTCCCAGCTGTCCCATCAAGGATTTATTTTCTACTGATCATGTACAAGCAATAAAAGCAGTGGAGAATACAGTCACTTCAGCTCTGTCCTTCCTCCTGCCCCGGTACCTGCTCTGGGGAGACAATTTAGGAGGACGGAACACAGGGAGAAGGTGTTTATGACCTTCCCTGTTCCAGCCACATTACGCAGGGAATGCGGCTGGAAGGGAGTGCTGAGCACAGAGAAAGCCACATATTCTTTAGTCTCACCCTCCCACAACACTCATTGGTGTCAGGGACAGCGAAAAAGCACTAGATTTGGGGAAAGCCTCCTTTCCTCGGTTGTAAGGATTCAGGGAGGAATCATGGGAGGAAGGAGTGCACACAGAGGCACCAAATGAAGAGAGAAGTTCTGTATTTCTCTCAGTGATAACATTATTGGAGTCTGGAATTATTCACTGAATAAAACAGAATATCAAATATTCAAAAGATTTGATATGTTACCTGAACCTCTTGATGTTTTTCTCTGAGACTCTGATAAAGAGAACAATAGGATATATCTTGGCTTTGATTAAATCCTTTGTGCAGCTTATTCCAGCTTCCAGCAGACAATGCTTATTCTAAAAACAAAGTCATAACAGTGTCACAAAGGAACATTCACAGCAGTAGAATTCTAAGATAAAGGGGTCAGCTGAATAGCTCTCCATTTACCATTGTACTGGTTTAAAACCTTTTAATCAAATACACATTTAAAGTCCAAATTCCTTTTACCGGTTTACAACCAGTCAGTGAAATAAAAGTTAAGTTTAATAGCTTTCTGGGAAGATTTAAGTAGAAATGATTTGATCTAAGGATAAAGAGAAAGATAAAACACAAGTTTTACATATATACACAAACAAACATACTCACCCTTTGTTCAGCGAGGACACTGTGACTACAGCTACTTGCCAAAGAAAACAACATCACTTTAATTCTCCTTTTCTCCATGCTGTGCATCAAATTTGCTCTACTTGATATAAGATTTCTGTCTTTGACGTTGTTATCTGTGGACTGTATAACCTCCTGCCTGTGTTTTAGGCTCTCCTTCCTTTTGTCTAGGTCCTTATACCACTTAGGTCCTCACACATCTACATGTACTTAAGAAATGAAAAGGACCTGAATAAGGAACGGAGCATAGGAAATGGAAGGATGTTTCCCTGCATCAGTGTGGGTCACTGCAAGGAATGAGCAAGAATATAAAAAGATAGAGCTGCGGATGAAACAGGAAGGAGAGCACAAATCAAAGCCATTTGGAGGAATAAAAAATCTGAGATTGAAGGCAGACAAGAGGGAGAACATGCAACTGTAAAATGGTCCTTCTCTTACTCCAAAGACATACACACACTGCAGCAGACTCACAGACCACTTATTGAAGGAGTACAAGACACTCTAAGCACCTTGGCAGTGACAGCCTCAATATTGGCAGGTACGATACATTCATATGTGTTCGGATTCTTTTCTCTGCTGAAGATGACAGTCTCTGTCCTTTGCTTCCGCAAGAACTCTTCCTTTGTCACAATATCTGGAAAGGGAAGTGGATGAGGACAAGATCAAGATTACAACAACAATACACTAAGAAACTAATAGTACTTCAAGTAGGATGTTGGAGTAGGAAGGAGGAAGACAATTCATTGCTGGTCCTAACAGCTGCCTCATTTCTTCCATTTAATTCAATTAAAGCTTAATCTGATCACAGCTGAATATCTCAGCTGTATCCTGCACCAATGAGTCCTTGGGCAATTACCAGAACACTATCAAGGCATCATATTAAAGCAGTAAATACTAGTCCTGCACCTAATATTACATAGTAACATCTCAGGACTGGAAGATGCTGAGAAGTGCTAAAAAAAAAAAAAAAAAAAAAAAAAGTCACTTTGGTATAGGTTCCTAAAACAGGGATTTAGTGTTCCAACTTTTCTGTCTAAACTTTCAAAAAATTTGGCTTAGCTTGCAATGTGTGATACTGGTACCCTTGTGATTTTCCTCGCTGCGTCAAAGCTTTTATGTTGCAAGACAGAAGATATTTATTATAATACTTAACTTTTCAGTTTGTCTGGATAACAGTGAGCCTGTGTACTATGCAGTGGGCATTCAACAGCAGTGTAAAAACGAAACGTCAGCTGTGTTTAATGCTGTGCTCTATACAATCCTGCCCTACAGCAATCACAGAACTGCATATTGCTTTAATAGTAAATACTTAGCAAGGAAGAAAATCAGTCTTTCAAGCACATCAAATGCATGATCTTCACAGCCTTGGACTAGATAGAAACCTACAGTTGCTCTAGGGAAGATATTCCTCATAATAGCAAATACTAGACACAAATTAATCAAAACTTCACACTGCCTCAAAATGCAGGATGCAAACAGTACGCAAACTGAGAGAGCATTTGCAGCATTCCGGTCTCCGAGGAGCATCCTAGCAACCACGCAGCACACACAGGGATAACACTCACAACCACAGAATCTCATAACCGTGTGCACTGGCTGTTGCAAAAACATTCACAGTATCTCAGAAATTCTTAAAACAGTAGGATTTAGAGCTGCACTTCACTCTGCTGTGATCTGAAGAGAGCTCTCAGCTGTGGATGCCTCTGTGTGCGCGTGCATTGGTATGTCGGTGTTTCTCATACACAGGCATGATCTTCCCTCCTCTGTAGCATTACCTGGTTTGCACATGTTGAATTCCAGGGCACCTCCAGAGTTGAGGAGCTTCTGGATCAAGGTCTTGGCCAGCATGGAGGGGGTGAAGAGCACGGGGCGCCTGCGCTCGCAGTGGATTGGTCGCACCAAGCTGTAGGGGATCAGGCTGACGCTCTTATTAATTTCGCTTTCGGAATCCAAATCTGAGTAAAAGAACAAGACATTTACACTCTGGTATCCTCTTCAATGGTATTTGGAGAAAGACAGGAGAAATACGTGTGTTTTATAATACTTGTATTGGTCCTCCCTTCTCCAATGCCAGGGATGCCTTTACTGTACATTCATGTTCACTCGAACACCGTTCCTGAGGGCCTGGTGCTCCAAGCACTTGCAGCAAAACCTGGAAGTGTTTTGGTCACAGACACTGTCTAAATTTTGTACAGAGTGGAACACAGAAGCTGTAAATGGGAAAGACTGATAACTAGTTTCTTCGTAGTCATATAATGACCTTTATATGTGTCATGTGTAGAAAGGATATTATGAAATATATCCATACCTTCCAGTTTATCAGGCATGGGCTTTTTTGCTTCAGATGAGGTTCGGGCCAGCCCGGAGGGCCAGCCCGTGACAATGCGGACCCGCTCGTTGCTATTCATACGCTTGTACTTGTTTTCTGACCTGCTGACAAACTGAAAAGGAGAACCAAGAAATTTGACCCTCATTCCTTACACTCTTTATTCTCTATGTATTCATCAGCCCACACTTGTTATCTGCAAGATCTGATTTATCTATATCTATCAAACACAAAACTTCACGGAGTTGCTGACTGAATTCTCAGGCTCTTTAAATATCATAGATCTGATTCAGAGCCTTTGTTAATCCCCTTTGGGATTTCTTATTTTGTTCTCTGCTCTTTAGCAGCATGTTCTCTTTCTTTGCAGAGCTCCGGTATCAACAGAGCAAGCACTGATGTGTTCACAGCAGAGCAAGATACCCACCCTGAGCAGTAGCACAACAGTTTTACAGATGATACTCAGAGCTCTGCCCCTTCTTCGCTGCACCACCGAGACTCAAAACCTCCTAAATGGCAGATTTTTACACACAGAGAAGTGCTTGGGGCCATCATTCCTCATTCACCCAGCTATTTCTCTATTCAAACATTAATTCCTCCTCCTGTATGTTTGCTAACCTCACAACCTTCATCTTCCTTCACATGTTTTTATTATCCTTCACCTCGACACCCTCTGTAGCATTCAGAGTCACTGACCTACAATTAAAGTTCTATTTTCTGATGGAAGCTCCCACCGCAGATACTTGGGGATCTGGCCTAGCCAAATGCATTTGTCCTTATGGTTCAGACAAAATATATTTCAGCCTCTGAAGGGAGACATGTTTGATCATCAAGGTTATACTATTAATGGAACGAATGTACTTTAAAACAAACACCCTATATCTCAAGAGCAGCTAGAAAACACACTCCATTCCTCTTTTTCATTTATTAAGTCTCTTTTCGGTAGAGAGAGACCCTGATACAACCTCTACAGTGGAGGTGGAGTTTCTGGGGAGACTATCACAGCCTGAGAATATCCACTGATTGGATCCACTATTTTAGACACCCCATGGAGGACTTGAGCTTTATTACCTGCAAGATTTGGCCCAGAAGAAAGCTGGCTCGGGACAGGCGAGGGCTGGCTTTGGGATCGGTCTGTGGGGCAGGCTCCTCTGTCTGCAGTGTATTCTAGCAAAAAACACACAAGGTTTTTTCTTTCTCACCCTCTTTTATTTTTAATTACAACATCCAAGAATCAGAGGAAGCCAAAGAAGGTATTTACTATTTCCAATAAAAATTGATGAACAACTTCCCAAATAATGTATTCCACAATGTTTTCAAGCAAACTACAGCCATAACACTGCCTGTGCTGAGAAATACTGCTCCTGCTACTGTTCCTTCGCATTCCTTTCTTCACAGGAAACGGCACTCCAGAGTTTATGAAAGAGGTAATTTCTGCATTGAGAAATTGCAGGCAAAGCTTTGGCTTTCGCGAGCGTCTCTGCCCGTTATCCCTGTCCCTTTGATGAGCGAGGACTGGAGTGCAGGAGGACTGCGTGACACTTAACCTTGATGGAGATTAAATACAAGCTGTGGCTCCAGTGTCTCTGCAGCACTGGAAGCATATTTGTCTGTGGTCTCAAGGGTGACTAGGAGTTCTAGGAAGAATATATCAATAAGCTAATTTTTAATTGTATAAAGAAAGAAATCTTGGGGCTATAGAAAGGAAAGTCACACTGCTTTCTTTGAGGGAAAAGGAGAAATTGGCAGGGCTGTTGTGCATGAAGACCTGATAATCCCACTCCTCTGCATAGCTTGGAGTTGGGAGGAGACAGATAATTCTAATATGGGACAATGATAGCTCTGTGGATTAGCTGCTTGTTCACTGTAGGAGAGGAAGAATTCTGCTTATTAACTCCAAGGACACAGCTTCTTCCTCGTGTAGATGTGAACACGTGTTAGAGGTTTCCGGGCAGAGGAGAATGAAAGAGATTAACTGCATGCAGAGCGGATATTAGGCCTCCGAAGCGCACTCCTGCAAAGCAGGAAGGGTTAATAACTTGCTGGAGCTGGGTCCACTGCTGGGGACAATGTTATTTAATGCAAACATAAGACAAACCCTGCCTGGAACCATCAAAACATACAAAGAGAGTACACAGGAATTTCATGCAAAATTAACATACTGAACAACAAATAGCAATTAAGTCATAGATGGTAAAACAGCCTTGTTTCTAGGTCCTTACCCGGAGCGACCGAAGGGTATTATTATGTGAGCTTTCCGTCTCATCCCTGCTTCCTCTATGCATCAGCCGCTGCAGCTTCACCAAGAGGAGTTGCTGGGCTCTACAAGAAAAAAGGGAATCATATCCATCAAGATCAACTTGAAACAACGTGGAAGCAGGTTGGACTGCAATGGGTCTGTGCCCACAGAAAAGATTAAACAGAAATAGCAGTGGACTGACTGAATTATGGTAAAGAACAAAATAATGAGCTAGACTGCAGCACAATTAAGGAGTAAAGAATCTCTATAGCATATTTTCTTATCCTGCTTTTTGAGAAACCCGTATTACTCTTTCAGGTATCATCCAGGGTCTCCTTTCGAAAACCTTAAAGCTCATATTGCAATTTAACATCCCCAGGCCTTAGCTAACATTGACAGCTACAGCCCTTTCCTCGGAGCAGTTAATTTTCTTGTTTCCAGAACCACTTCTCCCGCTCATGGTCACTCTGCATTACACTCACCTGCTGTAGCTGGGAATTGTCCCTGTTTCCAGATCCCTGTCTGTGAAAGGATCAACTCTGGCACACAACCACTCACACTTCCCCTGATACATGGTGTCAAGAATATGGACAATCTCGTCACATTTCACCGACAGGGAACAGCAGTCCTGCTGGCTGGAGATGTTCAGATTCAAGCGGATATGAAACGAGTCCCCTGATGTGATCAGCCCTTCTTCTATTTCTGACAGCAGCTTCCGGTAACCTGCAGCAATAAGAGAAGAGGCCAAACATGAGCAAGCAGGAATCAAAACCTCGGCATTTCTGCACTCCTAGGAGCCCAACGGGAGAAGTACATGAAATTCTCAGCCTTCCTGAGAAATGGCCCATATTTCTTGAATGCTGCTTACAATCGTTACACACGGTTATAGGTCTGCAGCTTAAAGACACTACTGGGACATTGCTTTAGGAACAGGCCATGCTGTAGGTACTGCAGTCTGTAAGAAGGATCCCCATATAGTGATATGTTTATGTAGCTCCAATTTTAATGCTCCACTCGGATGAAACATAAAACAAAACTTTTCATTAAAGATACAGATAGAGCAGCTAGAGCTCCATCATATAAATACAGCTTGAGTTCTCTCACCTATTTAAATGACATGCTATTCACTTTCTTATTAGCTCTAATTGGCATTCCCACAATCTATAACATTCTCTTATCTGCAGGAAAGTGATGCTCCAAAAAACTTGCAATACTCTTTGCTACCTTTGAAAACATCAAAAGAAATCAAAGACATCATTTCCTATGTGATCTGTGCAGCTGGAATTCTCTAGCCAGACTTTAAAAAAAAAATTTAAAAAAAAAAAAAGGAAAATATATCTGCATCAGTTAAAAGTGCCTTTTGGGGTGTAATTTTTGATCCATAACACCAAATTAACATTACAAGCCAGGAACACTAAAATCAAATTCTGTTCACCATGCATGAACTCAAACTGCTAAAGATAAAGCCACAAAGGTAATAAACAGGGAAACTCCAGCATGTAAATGCTAAATCAAACCTCAGCTCAATAAAAGATGATCCATCTTGCCACATTTTACTGTAGAAACAGCATATAGAAATAAGTTTGAGTGTATTCTGAGAGTCATGTATTTATTGGCCCACCATCTAAGTTCTTCAAACTCCTGTATGGAGGAGTTTGGACTATTGTATGGACTATTTTTGCTCTCAGTTACAGAAGTAAAACACGGTGCTGTTATATACAGTAGCTATATGTAACATCAGTAGACTTGCTTCAGAGATTTATACCCGTATAATTAATACCCTCTCAAAGGTATTCTGCTCCCGTTGTTCCCATCCACAGTACATCCTATAATAGACCTGCTTCTGGTCTTACCTTCATGATTTGATTTATACTGGAGCGTTACTGGACCACTGCACCTCTGAATTGTCCAGTGAACTTCTTCCTTTGTGCAAGTATCCAAGGGAACACTCTGATTTTCCCCTTTGATGCAGCCCTCGAACTAGATATGAAAGAAATATTATTCTCCAGCACAGGTTTAATCTCTGAGTCAATTATACCACTTTTTAATAGTTGCAGGTAGTATTTTTTCCTGATCCTGCAATCCAGATACTTTGCTATCAGGAGGCAGATGCTGTGTTTAGATTTAATTTCTCTCCAATTAGGAATAAGCAGGCAATAGAATTGCAGCTCTTTGTTAATCCCAGATTTCTCAGTAGGAGGCTGCAGAAGTTATCATACAGGAATGACATTTTTCCCCTCTCAGAGAAATTTGGTGGGGGCAGGAGAAAGCACTGGTGGAAGGTTTCCTTCTTTAACAGGAAAAAGAAAGGTTTGGGAACATGGAGAGTGAAAGAAAAATGTTAAGCAATGAATGACTTATCAAAGGCTTCATTTAACTCCTGCTTGCATGGTGCTGCAAACAGCTATGCAGCTTTGCAGCCCTTCTTCCCATTCATATTGCAGCTGTACCCATTCCTGCCCCACAACATGCCCAGTTGTGGAATAACCCACTCTAAGAAACGGGTCAGAAACTGTCATTTTAAGTGGCATGAACCTCCTTTCAGGCAGGCTGCTACTGGGCAAGCTGAGAGCAACTCCCTCTCTAGCATTTCAAAGGGGCAGTGGTACCACAAGAGACAGCGTTAAAGGATTTACTCTAATCTCTTCCATTCAGAGTTACTGTGAAGTGCATGATGTGTGCATGTGGGCAGAAAATAAATACTGTTCCCCTATATTTTCACTGCCAATATCAGATTTTCTTCTGCAGCAGCCATATGTTTTGTCATTAATACAAACTGAAGGAAGAAACAGGAGTATTTCACGAGTGTGCATGCATGCAGGACTCGCACTGTTTGCTGTATGCTTACCATAAGGAGCTGGTGGCCCTCTCGAAGACCTGCTTTCTCTGCAAGTGATCCTGTCTTGACAGAGCTAATAAAGCTCCCTTTGTCATTACCGCCGACCAGAGTAATTTCCGAGTTGAGGCTGTCTCCATTCAAGGTGACGCGCTGGACGGTATAGCAGGAGGTTCGAATGCGACCAACAGAGGTGACGGAGGGGCGAAAAGGTCTGCTTTCATGAAAGGGACTTGCAGTTAGGCAACTACCTCAGCTCCTGACTATCAATCCAGAATTAAATGTATGTATGATGTGCGAGACATAAATGAACTCTCGATGTTACCAAACAGCGGAGGAGAAATCTTTCTCCTTACTTAAAACATTATTCTGGAGCAGAGCATCGGGATACCTTCAGCTGCTCTGACTGTGTAACTCAGATGTACAATAGTATCCCACATTTGGCAGTGGGAAAACAAGATCACAGGAAGACATTTAAACCTCTAAAATATTTTGTCTGCTCTAAAGTGTTGGAAATTTTAAGATTACTTCACTGGATCACAGACTATGAAAGGGGTTCAAAATAACATATTACATTGCTGCAGACATAAAGTGAAGACTTAACACGGTATCATGAGATGTGTGTCAAACTACAACTTGTGACATGATACTCCTGCCACTGTATCTTCAGCAACTAATGGATAAATGGGTGAGCTCTACCCATATAGTAGCCTGTCCCTTCCACTGCAGTCTGAAACAGTTAAACTGGCATCTCAGATACCTTTCCAGAGAGAACTTTCGAAATATGGAGCTGACGTGCTCGAGGTCATAGGCATCCAGGCCTTCCGACTGATGAGAAGAAGAGGAAGAGTGCACTGATGGAGCTCCGTGTGAGTGCCTGTCATGACTGTCATCTGAAAAAGGTAACAAAAATAAAAACAAGTCCCAGATAGAGTGACAAAGACAAGAAAAGGAAACGGAGAGGTTTAGCTTAATCCAGCCAAAGGATTTCCACATTAGGAATGTGGAAATTCCTAATGCAGAGGAACAACTAAGGTCTACAGACCACAACAAGGAAGGCCAATCTTTCTCAGTGACCACTCCCACAGAACTGCTGAGGCTGGAAGACTCTAGAGACTGTCTAGTGCAACCAGGGGGAAAGCAGTCAGCAGAAGGAGACTGTTCAAGGCCTTGTCCAGTCGGGTTTGGAATATCTCCAAGGACAGAGACCCCTTGGGCAACTTCTCTGGGCAACCTGTTGACCACCCTTACAGTAAGAAATGTCTTTTCTTATGCTTAAATTTGTGTTTCATGTGTCTCAATTTGTGCCCATTTTGTCTTGTCCTTTAACTGAGCATCAATGACAGGAGCCTGGCTCTGTCCTCTCTATCCCTTCTCCTCTCACTTTGATGCCTTCCCTATTTCTGGTGGCTGGTAATCACACATCACAGTTAAATGCTATACACGATAGGCTCTTGCTTACCATCTAGCTCCAAAGTATCATATCCAAAGCTGTCATTGTCCTCTTCAGCCATGCTGGAATTGAAACAATGAAAGAGAGAAAATGAGAGAGAGGAAGATGTCCACTTTCCACCTTTCCGCAGATTTCACTAAGTTCTGAAGGAGAAATCTGTGAAAAAGGAGGATGTTGGAGGTGTTGAATAAATACTTAGATGCAAAAGAAATAAGCAATGGTGACATGCCTGTGGGCCCAGGGGAGAAGTAAGAGAGTGGCAGGAAAACAGTGTCAGTCAATATGGGAATGGGCAGGGGAAGGGGCAAGAAGATTCCCAAGAAGGAACTGCTGGCAGCACTGAGCGAGTAAAGACTTTGCTGAAGGCAAAGAGGGGTGATGACTGATGGTCTCCTGTGGGTGACTTGCACATCTTCAGCACTAAAATACAATGATATAACGGCTGTGTAACACCTGCAGTATGGCTTCTTCCACTATAGATCTAAAATGTCGGGATGGACACAGTGAATGTCAGGAGGTGCAGCAGGAAAGGAATAATTTATCTGCTTGATTTAAAGGACTTGATGTGTTTTGTAGCAGCTTAATGGTGTCTCACAGTAGGTTCTCAGGTACGTACAGCACTCAGGTGCCTGCAGTAACAGAACAGCATGGTGCACCAGGCTGTGCACAGAAACTCTTCTTCTGCAGCTCTGGCCCCAGTCCAGCTCCCAATGACATCAGTCAGCTACAACCTTTAATTTTAAAAGTGACGAGGTTGCTTGGTCTATAAAAACAGTTAAAATGCACCAATTTCTGCCCTTAAGGGGAAATCAGGGATGTCCAGCCAAGTGAATGTCACTAGAAGGGATCAATTAAAGCATGTCCTTTAGTTGCGAAGCTGTTTAAATGACAACTGCTGTTTTTTCCCATTCAAGATGATTTGTAGTTCTCCTGTGGAGATGATACTCTGCATATTTGGCTCCAGGTGAAGGATGATTTTTTGCAGTAAGTCTGTGGAGAATCAGCTATTTTTATACTGTACATAAGCAAGGAAAAGATACACCTTTTCCTACTGTACTAAATTATTATTTTTTCCACACAAAACAAAATCAGAACTGTGAAAGCTGAAACTTGGCATGCAAATAGCAATTATTTTGGATTATATTCACAAAAAGCTTTTTAAAAAACTTAGCAGGGTAATTATAAAGTTATAAACTATGGAGAAATCACTTTGGGATATGTTCTAGAGATACCTGACTTGACCAATTATTAATAAAATAAAGCCATATTCCCATCTTGCCAAGCCCATGTACCTTCTCCTTCCCCTTGCCAGGGGGAAAGAGCATCTAGTATGAGGTGTATTTTGAAATTTCAGTACCTCTCAGTCTTCTAAAGCCTAAAAATATGGAACAGGACATAGTCAGAGCTGTGGAAGGCCACAGAATGAAAAATACCTGTGTAACCTTTCATGCCTTCTGTCATATTCTGCTAATATTTAAATGTTTAGGCAAGCAAAAGTTTTTCAAACTGAAACATAAAACATAACAAGTAACAAAACAATTCTTATTTTTTCCATTTTGAATTAACCTGATTTATACAGTTAGAAAGGGCCTTGGAAGAAAATGTAGGTAAGCTCCAAGGAGACTCTGCCTAAAACCTCATGAGGCTGGAAAACTGTGAAGGAGCTGAGGGTGCTCTCAATGGAAAGCTACCTTGAAATACTTACAGAGAGAAAGAGAGGTGGAAGTGACACTTTGCTAGAGATGAGTTTGGTTTGAAAAGTACTAATAAAGATGTAAATCCTCTACATTTAGAGGATTAAATTTGTTTAATTGTGCTTTCTTATTCTTTTCTCTGAAAGGAATGAACAGAGAGTGTTTTGTTTTTATGACTCTCTTTCTGGGGTATGTTTTCATCTGCTGACTGGTCCAATATCAGAAAAATCTGTTCCTGATGCAAATACTGATGCTACTGACACCACCACCAAAATAGTATTACCAAGTATCGCAGTGTTATAAAACTTTTAGAAAAGGGCCAGTGCTTTTTAGGTGATGCAGAAGTAAGTGAGCTCTCTCTCCTTCCTGCCACTAACTTCCCCAGATGATCTTATTTCATTTACAGAAGGTCCATGATCTAACAGATGTGGAAGTTGAGGTAGCAGGAGAAACAGAAGCAATAAATCTCTCTCCCCACATCACTATCATGAGATAGAGAGCTCTGAATCCAACAAAAATGCCTGCCTCTGCCATCCTGGACACTCCAGGCCTCATAGATATGCAGCAACTTCACTCCATTTTGGCACTTCAGTAAGGAGAAGTTGGGTTTGAAGAAGGGGACAAGGACAGCCAGCATGGGGCTGGCAGGAAAAAGCCATTCAGGCTGCAAAGATAGATACACTATATTCTCTGGCAGCGTTGGTGCTTAGTCATTTCAGTACTGTTTGTCATTACATGCCTAGAAAAGGCAACGATGCCATCATATCACTGTATCATTCACCCAGCTGAGCCATCAGAGGCTCCTGAGTGTTTCGGAAAAGATCAGAGATGAAGCTCTGCAGTCCTAAAACTCTCATGAATGTCCTGCTGCCTAAAAGAGACTCTCTAAGCGGAGACAGACACCAAGACATCTCCTCCTTGTGACAAGAGGCTCCTGCCATATTTCACCAGCATGACTACCCACCTGCAGTGCGGGGCGTCTTCCTTGCAGCGTCGGACTATTGAGTCATTTCCCGGAGGCTCCGGCGTGGTTGACATGATGCTGTCATTGCGATTTCTCAAGGTTTGCTTTAAAAAAGCAACAGTGACAGAAAGGATGTTCATATTAGGTGCACTATCACTTCTAACCTCCTGAAATGTTAACTCACTAGTTTGCTAGTGGTATTCTGTGCTAAGAAGCTTATCCAACATTAAGAAACATAGTCTAGACTGCTACACAGAAGAGCGTTCTCATTCACTTAGAGCACTGTCGTAGCTATGTTTTCTGCACAACATGACTGGTTGCTTTACAAAAGGATTTTAACTTTATTCTTCATGTGTGAAGTATGTTTTGCACAGCTGACATCCAGCAGGGGTTAAAGAATGAGCAAAAATTAGAGATCTCTATGCACTCAATTATTAACTTAGTACACCAGTTTGGAGATTAAACTCTGGAATTTACTACCATGAAGAAAGTGTAATTCATTAAGGTACCCAACAGATATTTCAAAGAGAATTCCTAAAAACAGCTAAGCTTATTATGAGAGGCAGGGAGTTCTTCCCTGGCTATTCCTGGGTGTAATTTTAATTTCCTGGGGGCAGCATTTCTCATGGTGTTGTAGCAAGATATATTTTCCTTTGTTATTAACACTCTGCAAGAGCGTTCTCTGTGTCTGCCTGTCCTGCTGTGTCAGTGCTCACACAGGTATAATGGAATATCTACGTTGGGAGATTATGGGGATGCAGCAGGCAGGGGAGAAATGGTTTGGCTGTGGTACGCAGAAATTTTTAGCTATGTTCTGCACCCCTTTTCTGATTCACTGTTACCTATAGATTGGCGTGAAAAAAAGTCCAAAAGAATTTTGAAGATGCTTCCTAAAATAAATTACAAAGCAGCTTTTAAAGAACATCTCTTCCTTCTAACTGTAAATGTTAAACAGCATGAAAAGACAGCAAGAAGTCATAAATACCTTTGAAATATCTTTAAGTAAACATAAACCAGTTAAGTGATTTTGGAAAAGGTTAATAACATGGTTCGAACAATGCTGGTAAAAGGATTAAGGGAGCTTCTGGCAACAGCCTTGAATTGGATCACAGCTGGGATGCTAGTGAAGTGCTAATACTGAGTTGCAAGAGCTCTGATCCACATTCAGAGAGAAGGTCACAGACAGGCAAGGGGCATCTGAACACTCCTTACAATTTTGCTGACTTCACAGCTGCTGATGGAGTTACTGATGGAAACAGGATTAGAGGAACTAGTGTCTGTGCGGCTGTTGCTGGCCTCAGCCCCGTCTTCATCGTGTGCTCTAACTGCTGCACTCAAAAATGAGAGACAAAAAAAAATTAAGTTAGATCACTTTCAATACAGTCTGTCAGTTTTGTGGTGACATTTAGCATTATCGTTACACTTCTATTTATCAAATTTCCCTCCTTCTTTCCTGGAGAAAAGTTTCGGGAAATGCCTTCTACTTTCCTACTCTGGCCCCTTTTTCTTCCCTTTCAGTTGTCCAAGCAAATATAGAAGTGCTCACGACACTGGAGAACCCCTTGCCCACCTTTTCTCTTTCATCCTTTACTGTATTTTTTTATTAGATCTGTGAATACCAGTTACCAAATTTAATAAAGATTGTTATACTTATTCATGTCTTAACTTCATCAACTTGATCTGGCAGTCTGCAAGGATTGCTCACTGAATTACGCTCAGACAGTGACTAAGGAGCCTGAGAGCTCAGCAGCCCCGGGCAGCAGTGGGGATGCTCGTGTGCACTTCTGCCTTCCCTTCTTCAGAATCTCCAATTTAGGCTAAGTTTGCACATTCCCTGATACAAAACATACAATTTAATATTCAAAGTATTGGAACAGAAGCAATGCCTCCCATCATATTTGGTACAGCAGTGAGCATACTGCAGCACACAACAAATAAAGTGTTTGCTTATATGTTGTTTTATTTAAGAACAGTCTTAAATAAATGAGAGGAATTAGGGGAAACTCAAACATGAAGATACACCCACTAATTTGGTAGTTTGGCAGCTGCCTGATGAATGTGTCAATAAACCCTCAACCTTTGCAATCTTTTCAAATAAAAATGAATTTCTTTTTGTTGAACGGCAAAGGGAGTCATTAGATGATAATTAGAGTAGGGATCTCTCCAGCTTGGAGGATTTTTCCTGCTGCAAAAGCAGAACAGTATAATGGCTTTTAATGCAGGTGTTGTTCTAATGCCTTGAAAAATCATAAACTAAAAGAAAAACCGAGTAAATAGAACATTGAAATGTTATGTGTCTGTGGAGGTATCTTTGGATGGAAAGAACAACCAGGAAGACCACTTTGAATTATGACTTTTTTCACTCATAAGGAAACCGCCCAGTTTAGAGATTCAGACTTAGTCAAGAATTTCCTGTGCTGGTAGGTTTGTTAAAACAACCAAAAGAGATGGAGTGGAGGAGACAAAGCAAGAGAAAAGGAATAAGGACAGGGGTATCTTTCTGACCTTGAAACTCTGATGTTTTGTTCATATTGACAGGGGATTTAGCTCTCGGATTTATCTAAAAGAAAGAAGAGAAAACAAATAAAAAATCAAATGCAGGATATTTGCTATATGAGGTAAATTGGTATTTTCAACACTTTTCACTTTTATGCTGAAATATATATGTCCTCATTTAAACAATGGAACCCACAATTCAGAAGATATTTAGGTATCTAAATTCCGCTACAATCTCTCCAAGAAATGGGAGATTGTTACCTAACTACCTTAAAAGTCTGGCCCAAATGCATTGCATTTTCCAGATACTGCAAAAGGACCAAAAAGACAAAAGGTGAAGTGGGGGCCTTGGGACTGGTTTCAGGCAGCAGCTAATACAAGACGCATCCTGTTGGAGTGTAAAAAATGTCACTCTACTGTCATAAGTAATAATGACAGTCAAAGCTCAGAAAGGTTATGAAGAGCAGAGAGAATTCAAATGCACATGAAAGAAAATAGGAGTTTGAAACTCTGAATGCTAGACTGTATATTTTTTACAATTCATGACTATAGTACCAGATAATAGCTGTACGAATGCAGCCAGTCGGTGAAATCAAGGACCTAACTCATGTTACCCTTAAGTGAGAAGAAATTGCCATAATTTAATTCTAAATTAGGCACTTAATTTTGCTCTAGACTCTGTCCATTTTTTTCTATTATTCCTCCTAGCTGATGTAAGCTGTTCTCTCAGTGCTTCGGTTTCAGTGTTCAACTCCTTGTGTGTTGGACGTTGGGCATTATACCTCCTTAAATGCTAAAGAATCAACTTAATGAAGATGCTTAGGGAGGGTGAATGAATAGCAAAAACAAGGGAAAGGCACAAAATAGAGAAAAGGGGCAGAAAATGGTCTATGGAGCCTGATTACATATGGTCCTCAGTATATAAATCTTCCCAGGGTAATAACAGACAGCTCATTATCATATGTAAACCTATGCCTGTCTTTATAATGCAACATTTTTAGAGGCACAACAACATGCATTATGTCTCTTAGTTCTAAAGGTCCCTAACTACATCATTTCAGCCTTATATTAAGACACACCTGGATTCCTTTTAGGTTCACTCTTCTCTTGAGTCGAGCTTGATCAGGCAAGAAGAATTTGCTGTCTTCTGGAGACTCTTCAGAGGCTGAGGAATCATCTGCTTCCTGACCATTGGTTTTTGGGCTAGGAGACCCAAAGGTCTGGGAAATAATGGTAATTGGCAGATTCCGTGGCAAACTCTATAAAGGAGAAGGAAATGTTTTACTCCTCAGAAGAGCTGGGCTCCTCAAGACCTCCCTTTGGTCACAGGCTTGAAGTGCCTGTGAATCCAGTAGCCCTAAAGCTCACGCAAAATGTGTCTCCTGTCCCAAACTAGTAACTCTGATTCTGTGGAGATTTCTGTTCCCTGGGGCACATTCCTCAGAAGATGTATTTGTAGCTTCTATACCAACACAGAAATTCATTGCCTTCCTGTATTTCATTTCCTTCCACCTAAGATTCAACATCAAGCCGTGGAATGCTAGTCTTTGAGAAGCTCTGTGCATGACAGCCGACTTGAATCCCATTGAACTCAAGAACTTCACACAACATTGACATTTAATAGAAGACAGTCATTATTTCACCTAAATTTATGAGGGGAATTTAAACAGCCTGCTCTCCTCTTCATATTGAAATGGTTTTTAAGACCAAGGTTTAAAGGAAAGAACCTGGGTCAGACTTCCTTAGACCTACCTGGTCATGAAAGTTATTGTCCCTGGAGAGCCGTCGGAGTTTGCACTCTAGGTTAACAATGCAAGCTTCTTTCCGAACCACTTCAATTTGGAATTCATCATTCCTCTCTTCCAGCTCTCGAATCTGCTTCCTGTATTTATCCTTTTCAATCAGACACTGCGAGTACTGTGTCTGAGCCTCGTCACGGGAACGGAACGCCTGCAGTGGAGAGCAAAAGCCTGTATTGCACCGACAGCAGACACCTTTTCCTTGTGGTGTAGATCTTGAAAGATCCTTGAAACAGGGATTCAGAACAGGCATCCATCTATCAACTGACACAGCAATGAGAACCAAGATCTGCCATAGCATTACCATTAACAATTATGGTCATGGTGAAGGTTCATTTCTACCTCCCTCTTAGTTGGTGGCAATATATTCCAGAGAGAAACAGAATTACTTGACTCTAATATAGAGCCTATAGCAGTTCTAATTAAGAACTTGGTCCTGGAAGATACTATACTGTGGAAACAGCACAATATTATCTTGTGCTTAATTACATTTACACAAATTACAGGAAAGAGTAGCTTCTTGTAACTGTTTATTTTGGGTACTCTCAGTTTCCAGAAGGGGAACACAAAGTCACAGGCTTTGGCTACTAATGTTCCCTTTACCCTTCCACACATTTTAAATGCAGATACCTGATCTCGCTCCTTCTCCACCTCCTCTAGCTGTATCATCACAGTGTTCATACGGTGTTTGTACATCTCACAGTCTTTCCCTAGTGTTGAACACTTCAACTCCAAGTCTTCTTTTTCTTCAAGATACTGTAAATGACACACACCATAAACCACCACCGCTCTCGGGAATCTTTGGGGAATTGCTTTTAGGAACTATCCTTTCCTTTCTCACCTTATCTCTCAAGTCCTCCACATGACGAATCTCCTCTTGGAGATTAAAGATCTTGTTGACCAACTCATGCCGATCTTCTAGTGCCTCCTTACGATCATGTTCCAGAATATCCAAAATGGCTTTGTCTGAATCTGGCAAACTCCGTTTGTCAGCCTGAGGCAAGAGGTTTTTAAGAGAGAATCCCGGGAAAGAAAACAGAATATTGTAGGGGAAAAAGAAACAAAGACAAGAATAAACAAGAGGAACAGAAAATGAACATAGTCTTGCAATGGAAAAGCAGAAGAGATGAATCTTTGTTCATATTTTAAAATAAAGTCAGAAAAGGTGAATAAAGCCGGTCTTGATAACAGAATAGAATTATGAAGGAACTGCTTTATTTTTTTTTGTACTGGATATAATTCAATCCCTTTGCGATGCAGTGACAATTCCTTAGTTCAAGCCCTGCATTCGAACTCTTCTTTATTAATTAGTTCTCACTGAGCACAAAGTTCATCCTTTATCACAGAGCAAGGCCTAAGAAAACATTCAGAGGAATTTTAAAGAATGCATAGGCTTTACAGGGCTATACTCAGTGAATATTAAATATTTCTGCAGTAGTCTCTACCACTGTTTCATTTTCCATAGAGTCCAGAAATGTTTTTTCTTTCAGACTTAAAATTAACAAGGTCATTGGAGCAACAAATAAATTGTCAGCCAAAAGTAACAATAAATGTAAGATGAAAAAGACACAAAGTGCAAGCAATGAAATGCATTTAAAAATATAAAGATTAAGTTGCAGATTTCACTGAAATTTTTCTTCCCGATAATGTATGTATTTCTAAGGGGAAAAAAAAACCTTTTTTAAAAAAACATACTTTCGCTTAGGAGACTACTAATTCTAATTCAATTCTATTTGTCACTATTTTTAGATTACTTCTCTGCTCCTTTAGATGTCATAAGACTTCTATTAACATAAGAGATTCTAAATGCACTAAAACTATCTATACCACACCCTTCTGCGGCCTTTGAATTGGATTTTATTAGGTCTAAGAAATGTTAGGCTCCATTAGAGACCACCACCATATTCTGAAATGCACATATATTGATAATCCTTTTCAAGTGTCACTTTAAAAGGACACAAGCCTTTTCCAGCAAAATGCTGAACATTTTCATGTACATCCTAATATTTGGCTAAGCTCTTCACAGTGTAACAGTGCTAAATTAGCTACGAGTTAGCCTGTTTTTTCCCACCTGCCCAAACAAAAGTTATTTGAGAAACTTGTACAAGCTACAGCAATCTTCTATAGGGCGTTCTGGTAACCAGGGCAAGCACAGAAACCTTTCTTACTCTCTTCTTCATCCAGACCTTTTTGCACAGCTACAACAATAGTACAAAACAGGGTACACAGACTCACTGTCAGAAATGTCTAGGCTGCCTATTTAAAGCAGTTTTGTAGTGACACACTGATACAATAAACCACAGTGGGGCTAAGATGTGGAATTCAACGATCAACAATTAAACAGATGCACTTAGCATCTTAAAATAGCCAATCTCTCATGTACAGCTTATTTTATTAGATGATAACTTTTTTTGTACAATTCCTCCTCCTGCATGTGTCTGTATAAGGAGCAATACAGGCAGCTAGAAGCTATACATCCTTCTGTTGTTTTAAACTTTGCACTTATGCTCGCTGTAGCTTTGGAGGTGGAGGTTTCCCTCCACACTTCCCAGTATTATAGCAGGGGCATTTATTGAGTTTGAGGTGAGGAGTGGTAGTAAAGACCATGCTACCTCCTCTTGTTCATACAATTATCAGTTTCTCAATTATGGACTGAACTTCCTGTCACCTACTGAAAGTACGTGGGAGCTGTCACCATCTGCTGCTTCTCTGTCTCACTCTCACAGCCTCGTCCAGACACTTATATCCTTAAGTGTGACAGCCAAGGAAGACTGTGAGGAGATGCGGGGTATGTGAGACTGCATGGGAGGAGAGTGAGGGGGTGCCTGGAGGAAGGGATTACTCCAGCCTGCTTGATCTATCATGTGGGTAAGGACAAGGTCTAAGTTCGGCATTTTAAATTTTAAACTACATAAAGTGACTACATGTATACCTGGATGATGGACTGTAACTCCTGGATTTTTGTCTTCATCATCACATTCTCCCTCTCCAGCTCCAGCACCTGTTCCTTTTTGGGCCGGCTTTCAATATCATTTTTCAGCTTCAGTGACTGGTTCCTCTCCAGCTTGCATTCCTCTTCCACTTTGTTCAAGCGATGCTTCAGCTGGTCAATCTAGAAGAGTCAGGGAGCAGTGAAAAGGAGAAATGGGAAAACAAAGAAATTATTCTTAGCTGAGGCAAGGAATGCTTAAGGGGAAAAAAAGCTTAATTTGTTACTGCTGACCAGCAGAAAATTGGGTGTGTGGTGGAGGCAGGAAAAAGTAAATGTCCAAAACACAATTTTCGAACTTTTAAGCAGAAGTCTGCTACTTGCCAGCTACAACTGATATGGGTTGTTTGTAAATTTAGATAGCACATCTTGAATCATCCAATTAATAAACAGACATGAGACACGACTACTATGTGAGGCTGATCATGTGTTGTGATTCTGCACATAGACTATTTAAACTGCAAAAACTGAAGGCTTGGGGTTCTGCGAGGCACAAGTAATTCTAAAAAGAAGGTGTCCTAGAAAGAAGACTACGAAGATCTTGCATGGAGGAAAGGCTCTGAAATTGTGGAAAAGTCACGGAGGCCAGAGAGACAAGTGGAGATGAATGTCAGGGGATGTCCAGAGACTTTGGTAACGCCTGAGACTGGCAGCTGCAAGCAGTAACAAACCAATATGACACTGCTTCAGTAGGCATTTCTGCAAAGTCAAGCCTTTAATCACCTGGAAAACAAATGAGAACCCCACACTGTACTTACTACTGTACTTACTACTGTGAGGGAGGATCTCATTTTTGCCAGCTGCCACTGGCATCCTCCATTGCTGCTTTCTAATTAAAGCATCCTAGAGCATTTCTCTCACCTCTAACTGGAGGTCTCGGCTCCTCATCACAGCCATGTTTTTCTCTTCACTCAGCTGAGCATATCTCATGGCCAGATTGTAGTTTTCATCCTTCACCTTGACCAGCTCATCATTGTAGTTGTTCCTCTCCTCCTTCATCTTGTTGTACCTGTCCTGGAAGGTCAGCAGCTCCATCTTGTTCAATTTTAGTTGCTTCCTCTCATCCTCCAACTGGCGAGACTTAGCTAAGAGTTCACAGCGCTGCACATCTTTTGCCTTTACTTGCTGCTGAAGCTTAATGATCTCGTTCATTAGGAAATGGGTAAGGCCTTCATGACCTTCCTCCACTGAAAACATTTGAACAGCTTATCAACTTCTAATAGCGTAAGTAAATACTAGAGTAGGATTTAGCAGAATAGAGTAAGAAACAAACACTCCAGAATATGCACAGAAGGGTAGATTATGTGCACACATACATACACACACTCTTACATATTTAACTGGGAACAGTGCCAATATTACACAGCACACTACTGCCATTATCCCAGAATAAAGGCATATTTTACAGGTAGAGCATGAAGGCTTTGTATTTGTCTCGTTGCTTCAGCTGAACCACAGGCTTGCGAAAATAGCACAGACCTTGTAAAATGAACCTGAACGTTTACAATTAACCTGAATGCTTCTAATTTATTGCACACGTGTAGATCATCAGTGTAAGCTGTCAGTGTTTCTTCTCTTGAGGTTTCCTGTAATGACTATCATTTCATTAGAGGCTCCTCAGTCTCATTCTGACAACTGGGCTGTTTCTTTTCTTTATACCTTATCTACTGCTATTCTTTTTCACCTAAAGGGGACTGAAAAACTGAAGTCTCCTACAGGGCAATGTAGGATGCAACTAGAAGAATAGCTGTTATTACCATTTCTCATCTGAAAAATAATTAAACTCAGCCTTCAGTGTAGTCCTCATTTCATCAGCCTACTTGGAGACCAATTCTACTTACCAACAATAGTGGAAAATCTCCGTGTTGGCTCTTTCCCTGTCACCAGTTTGTAGAGTTCAGGATAGTAAAACTCCAGGCTCTCTAAGAAAACTACGTAGCCCCTTTGGCCTTTGGTGTGGAGAATGTCCAGCAGTCGGCCTAAGCAGAGCCCACAGAGAAGAGAGATGTCATAAAAAAGAGTGCTAACATAAAAGCACTATGAGTAGCAAAGGAAGTACTGTATCCCTGAAGTTAAACCTGCTTAGGGTTTGTCTCTGCCACAGCAATGCAGTGTGGAAAAAACGGCTCATTAATTGAGTTCTGGGGGACTCATAAAGTAATGCCATGTATCCTTTATGTTTGTGCTCATTGTTATTCCGGTGGAGTGCAAGCAAATTGGTCTCCGGAACAGAAATCTCAGAAGACACTGTAGTCAGTGCAATCCTTACCAGAAGTGTTGAAGCATCAGGATAGCAGACCCCTCAGCAGCAAACCCTGATGCACCGCAGGACAGCTCAGAGCCTGCTCTAGGAATGGCAAGAGCTGCCACTTGTTTTAACTGAAAGGTTTGCCAAGGCTGTGGTGGGAATGTGAGCTCACCAAATCCTAGCATGCACAGCACTGGAAGAATCATTATCAAAAAACAGCTCCTTTTTGTAGCAGCAGATCCCTGCCTTTACACTAAATCTCATGTAAATGAGATAGAGGTTTCCCCATCATAACCTCTAATTTGATAGACACTCCTCCTTAGTTTCAGTAGAATAATACTGTTCAGACAGGGTGCAAATGTAGCTATTCACAAAATAATTACCTGCTCGGTTAATTTTGGAGGGCAGCATAAGCGAGTTGAGTACTTCATCCTCATCTTGCTCATCAATTACTTTGCACTGCCGCAGGTATGGGGTCAGTTTGGCTGGATTGATGTAGCGGCTCAGCATGTGGCGGTTGCATTCTACGTTCTCCCACAAAGCTTCCTCCTCATCTTTCAATGTCTCCAGGCAGTCATCCATCTCCGGCTCTCCTCCTTAACAAGAAAAACAATGAGCAAACGAGCACTGAAAAGGCAGGTTTCTATCCTGGTTTTTTTTTGTGCTTTCATGTCACATAGGATGAGCTTAGAATCAGTTCGGATGAGTGGTGGATTTGCCCTGTGTTTTTGTCCTGAACAGCTTGTACTGAAGCACAGCCTGTCCACAGCTCATCTTGAAAGCGACAGTTCAGAGAAGTCCTATCTTGAGTCTATGAACTATTGCACATTGCTTTCTCGTGATGAATCTGCAGCTCAGCTAATCCCATGAAGGGCTCTACAAGACAGAGAATCCCTCTTCATAATCGAAGCAATGGAAAAGGACATGGTTGGATGCAAGAAATGGTATGAATATATGGAGCTCAGAGCAAAAGCCTGTTTACAGGCAGCTTCAGCTTTCATTCTCACCTCCTTTGCCCTTCTCAGCTGTACTGGTCAAACATGCACTTTTCCCTACATATATGGAATGAGCCAACACACGTAAATGACTACACTTGAGCCTCTAAGAATAGCTAATTCACAGGCGAATAACTATATCTGCCTTTGGCAGGCGCACGTGGCAATGACGGAGACAAATCTAAGTACCTGACCTTGGCTTTCGGTGCGTGAGTGGTGAGCAGGACACGTTACCACTGAAGTCTTGACTCCTGCAAATACTACCACATGACCTCCGCGCGCTTGCTAAGCACGTTCCTGCCAGCTCCTGCTCTCTGATCAGCTCATTGAAGAAGGCTGCAGGGCAGGCAACAATGAGGTTGGAAAACTTGTGCTAACTAAAGGAAGTCAATAGTAAAGAAACCGTGAGGAAGTCAAACGTGGAATCCACTCCCTCTTAAATTCCGTGATAAATATGAAGGTTTGGAACAAACCTGATTTTTGAATTCTTGCTTTTTTCAAGATCTTACAATCCAGGGGGTACATGGAATTTAAGCTCCTACATCAACACAAGCTGCTTTAGCCCCGCCAAGACCATGTTAAAGGAAATGTGCAGTTCTTTGGTCATATGAGACAGAGCTGCCCTTTATGAGACTTTGCTGTTAATCAGTAGCTAGAGACCTCAGAAGAGTCACATTGTTTTCCTTGGATCAGAAGAGTTTTGGCCCTGTTAAAATTTTCTCAGCTTCTAACTTCGGAGCTGCAAAACAGACTGTTACACTGAAAACCACCAGGCAGAACCAGCTATTGATCTATATTGTTAGGGGCTATTAACTCCTTCTCATTATGCAAACTAAAAATGCAAGAGCCAGCCTGCTAACTAATGTATCTGAGATTGTTTTTCTATCATAATGAAATGCAGTCATCCTACAAAAAACATTTGCTCTTTATTTGGTGCTTTCAAAGACCTTCCTAAGCAGTCCAAAATTCTAGGCTGAGGTTTAATATCTCCTTGATAAAAAAAAGGTGGGTTTTTCATATTATGGATAGGTTAGGGGAATATTTCTAGTGGGTAAGCTATATTGTTATCTCTTTGACTCTTGTAGTTTCCACAGAGTTCTTTCATTTGTACTTCCACATCCCAGGAACCACTTCTTTGGCATTTGCTCTGCTCAGGGCTTGGAGATGTTAACACTCCATTATCTGCTGTTAATGGACAAGGACAAGGAAGACCAGATTTGCCTGACGGGAGCCAGCATCACAGGGACATAGCTCTTTTTATGGCAAAGTCACTCTGAGCTTATGAATTCATTACAAAGTGCATGAAATTGCAAGGAAACAAATCTTATGACATGCCAGTATTTAGGTGCTAAAGCCCAGCCTGGAGTCAGGAATAGCAATAGCAGTGTGAGGACTGCTGGAGATGAAATAGATTCATCTCATGATCCTCATGATCACCATTATTCTGGAAATCACTCTATTTCATTTTGAAGCTGAATTAACAAACACTACACAATTTGGGAAGCTGACCTTTTGGGAATAGAAGGTAGTAAAGTAGAAGGTCACATAGAGCTTTAGTCAGTTTAGGGCCATAACTATTCTGCTGTATGTAAAAACAAAACATATGTTGGAGGCCCTTTGAGTTTAGAGAGGTTACCAGTAAGCTCCCATATGGACCTCAGAGCACAAAAGCAACTCTTGCCAGAAGCTGACAGAATGCAAGATCTCTTCTAGTTTCCTGCATTGAACCAGAAATTATTACAACCTCTGTCAGCAGTTCTCTCAGGAACATCTCCATTAAAAGGTTCAAAGAAAAGCTCCTTCATCAGTGTAATTCTCAACATGAATATATATATTTTTTTACATTACATTAAAATTACCTTATCAAATTACCCCTCATTTACTCGCAGAACATGTCCATAGTGTTGTTTGGGGGGCACTATTTAATGGGAAAACAGTATATTGCATGAGTGGCTGAGAGTTCTAAATGGAAAAGCTATTTCTGGCAGTACATTCTCATCAAATACAGACTGTTATCAGGAGCAAGCCCTTCAAGACTGTACAAGAGGAAAACTCCTGATTGCTATGTAGAAACCTTGGAATCTTCTGCTTCCTTCTAGAATTACCATCTGGAAATGTCCCACCAGAATAGTTAAGTTATCTTCTAGATCACTATGCTGTTCTCCTCTTCTCTGTGGGATTACAGGATTATGGCATTCTGCTCTTTCCTAGAGCCTGGCTTGTTGCCTCTGCAGTGTTTCTTTGGCCAGAAGAATATAGGTATATTCTGAATATATATGAATATATAAGAATATATGTATCTTTGGTCAGATGAATATAACCCTGGGCTAACTTCACTGTCTTCTCTACCACTCCAGGCACAACAGGGATAGACAGCTGGTATTAGCACAGCACCCTTCCTAATGACCACGTACTTATTTGCTTCTCTATTTAACATAATAAATAAAATGCTTGTGATTAGTTGAAATCTTGCTGTACTGGTCAGAAAACAGATCTGACAACTGAAAACCAGTAGGAAACTAAGAAAGGGATGATATTGGTCACTTAATTTTAACAGCAGATTTTTCATCAGCACATATATTTTCTAGGTATTTAAACGATCTTATTCCCTGTTCCTTCTCCTTCCTTCATGCAGTGATATTGCAGAAACAATGTTTTAACTTAGAAACTTAGGAATGAGAGATTTAAAATGCTTTAAAATGCATAACCACTTATTTCATTTGATCTTCCTGACCATTCTCTAGTATCTGATTGCTGCACCGCTTGAATTGTAATCTAACACATTCACAAGTTGTGATATATCAGAGAAATACTACGGCGCCCATTACAAATCAGAGGTGTGAAGTCACAGACTTGGACTCACTTCAACAGATCTTAGCCAAAAAGAAGTAAGAATTGCCAGAGTGGTTTAAAAATTGCTTTCCTGCTGCTCCTTTCAGTAGTTAGTATACAAGATGGCTGTTAACTGCAGGAGATCTTAACCCACGAATAATTTTGCTTAGTCCATTTATTTCAAAGGTCTCTGTAGATGCAGACAAATAAAAGCGAAAATCCCTTTTTACATTAAAAGCAACACTCTAGTCCCCTCATCGCCTTTTTTTCCTCGCAGGGACTATCCTTCTCTTGGCTGTTAGAGACAAGTGAACCTTTCTACGTGTTTGCTACTTTTTGGGGCTGTATTTTTCAACTGAACAAATCACCTTGCAGTTAAAGCTATTCTCTGTTCCTACTCAGGCTCCATCCTTTCATATGTCAGTGACACTCTCCACTGATCAAGGGAATAAAGCCCCAGGCTTCGGAACCGGGGGTTCTCTCAAGTGCTCATCACTGGGTTAGATCTAAAGCTTCATTTTTGCAAATCATTTGGTGATGGTGCAGAAATTAACCCCCTCAGCCGCTTAATTATTGCATCCCCTTGCTCTGAATTCTCAGCCTATCAAAATTAAAAAAACAAAATTGTGCAGCAGGCAGCAAAAGGAGGCTTAGCTACGTCTGCTGTATTATATATATATATATAATATGTATTATATATATAATATATATATATTATATATATATTATATATATATAATATGTATTATATATATTATATATATATATTATATATATATATTATATATATATAAAATATGTATTATATATATTTATATGTTAATATAAACACGTTTGTTCACTCTACATGCCAAATATATACACGGAAAATGGAAAAAGATTACACTTAAGTTATCACACTTTAAAGCAAAAACAGAAACAAAAATTGTGTATGTAATGGCCCTTAACATACAGAGGACATGTTGTTTTACATGCTCTTTCTATGCATCTGTCTAGATTGCATGGGCCAACGCCCTTTCTCCCTCAAATTTAACAGTTTCACATGAAGTAAAGCAGAGTTTTTTCTCAACAGCTGCACATATGTCAAGATGCTGTTTTGCAACATCAGAACCACAAAACCACAAAAGGGATTTAGAGCTATTTTTAATTTTAGAAGAAAGAGTTTGAAGTGTGATAAAGAAACTACATTCCTTTGCATAAGGAGGTAGGAGAGCTGTTTTTGTCCCTGGTATTCGGAGATGCTGACTACCAGCTTCCTAATTGTGCTGGCCACAGTGCTGAACGGTACCAAAAAATAACTTTTGAAAGATTAAATATTGATTCTGGAGACTGGATTTGCTTACCTATATTTGCAAGTCCACAGAGGTATCCAAATCTGGCTACCCAAAAAGGGGAAACAGTCTGAATCTGCCTTGGAGAATCTGCACTTTATATTCGTTCTACCTCAGCATCCCCAACCATAAACAAGGCTGCTAAGAAGTATTTCTATTAAAAAGTAGAGTTCATTCATTAGAGACTGCAAACCAGTTGGAAGTGCCAAGATGGCAGACCCTAGAAAAACATTTATTACTGGCACAGTTTTATTGCTTCATATTTTTAATCCTTAGAACACCTTCTGAAGCATCGATGAATAGATTGGGCTCCTCTCCACTGAGGCTGGACATGGAGAGAACCATTCTGCACCAGAACTCCCTCTTCATATAAAAGATTCAAGCAGCCAACTGAATGCCACAATTTCAATGAAATATAAAAGAAAAATATAGAAGCAG